GCGAACGCTCGACTCGTACCATAACATCGCCACAGCCATTAAATTGTCGGGTTTTCTATGTCGTGAAGTAGTTTTTTCTCTCTTCCGGGAGTCTTTACAGTAAGTTTCAATCGTCACTGAGATATAGAAGATGTGGAATGCGTATGGAAACGTGTTATTGCCCTCCTTTTTCGTGTTCAAATGTAGATATATGGTTTGGTATACATGTAGTCATTATGTTTGGTAATTGTAGAGGCAGTGGATTATTTTGTAATCCGTTCATTATATCCTTCGATCCCCTATAGTCTCGGGGCAAAATTAGGGAACAGGAGCGTTTGGGGGACACGAAGAGACTCCCACACTACGCGCTTTGGTTTTAGAATGTCCCCAAATTGCTACCAGCACTCTTGGGGGTTTCCGTGGGGAGTTGGGTTTGGGGGTGGGAGTATGTGGGCGACATCGCACGTAATAGGCATTTTATAAAGCAAAGAAGCAGAAAAATGGGTTAATGTTATTCAGAGCAATGCTTCGAGATAGAGGGAAATGGATACTGCCATCTTAAAGAGCATAAGAAGTAGAGTATTAAGCAGTACAGTCACATTTGCTTCAGCCTCATATGTACCACAAAAAAAAAAAAGAAAACATCTGCAGGGAGTGGTAATAATGTTTTTAGGATTTTGTCTCTGGAGCGTACATCACTCCAAGTAACCAATACTGAAAACTGAAAATCTAAAAGGTTTGACATAACCTTGTGAAACAATCAAATAAATGAACCCCATCCCAAATGCACAAAACATGAAAAAAGAAACCTACTCAACCTACCAAAATACCTCCTGATTGCTAAATGCCTCTTTAAGAGAGTAACAAAGACTAGTTATGACCTCCAGGTGATGAATTGAATTTCCATGTTAATGATATTTCATATTGTTTGTAATATTCCATTCCATCTAATTATCTTTATATTTTTATATTAACCCATTGCCGCCGTGGAAAATGAATAAAAAATGGGGAAAATGCTGTACTCATTTTTTATATTTTTGTGAAATATCTCTGTCCATAGATGGCTCTGCTAGTCCTGATTTCACCTTTCCTTGAATTGGCGGAAAAAAAACATATTCTTACTAGTGCTATAAATATAGATGGTGTTATTTTTAACAGCAAATTAGGATAACATTAAATATTTTTGTAAATCGATGAAAAGAGTGAACGGGCCAGACAGGCAGTACTCGTAATTGGCTCATTGGTGACTTAGTACAAGTGTAGTCATCTATGTGTAAAAACAATCATACAAGTCGACTTACAGTGGGCATGGCATGTATGTACATACCATCCCCGGAGGCAATAGGTTAATGCTTTAGCAAAATTATGCATTATCAATAGAAAGAATTGTTAATATGCTCCAAATCTGAATAAGAATTAAAATTCAGTTTCTGAAACCAAATCCACATTAATCCAGCGAACAAGCTTGGTGCACTTCTAGGCATTTAGATTTTTGAGCAATTAAATAGTGAGAGAAATATCCAAGTAATCTAAATCATAGATTAAGTAGGCCAGAGGAGAGAAACCTAAGACCGGTTTGGGTTGTATGCTATTATGGATAGTGTACAGTACTCTTTATATCTGAAACCCTAATGAAGACCCAAACCTAAAGTTAGCCTATATATTATTCCCTAGCTAAATTGTATGTACAATAGTGAGGGTGAAATAATGATATTGATAATAAACATGCATTAGCTTTATTTGAGAGATATACTGAAACAGCTGGGTATATTTTTACTGAAAGATTAATATGGAGTGGATTTGAATCCTTGTCAGAGAGGTTCTTGGGCATTTGTTTTGCCTATTGGGCATAATAAAAAAGGAGACAACAGCCATAATTATAGCTTTACAACAACATTTACTTCAAATACTAAAATCAAAATAATATTCTTGTTGACACCTGTCACTGGATTAATTCCACTTTGGTATTAGTATTATAGGTATTAAATTTCATGTATGTTGATATGTATACATTTAGGTCAATGGAATTACACAACTGATTTGCTTTATGCACATGCATAATCAGCATACATAATAAAAATATTGTGTAATTAAATCTTTTGATAAAAATACTATAGTATTATATTTCTTCTATCACATAATTTCTTTCATAAAGTGTATCATTAAAATCTAGAAAGTTGTCATGTGCCATAGAATTATCCAAAATTCCCATAAAGGCACAGTGGGGTTGTGGGTGTGGGTGAGTGGGTGGGTGGGCGGATACATACCCATGCATGTACATGCATGTGAGTTCATATGCACACATGTATGCATATGTGTGTACATGTGTTTTGTTTGTAGGAGAACTATACAGTACTGAATGTTTTGGATTTGTAATATCTTTGCTATTTAATCTTAATCAATGAATGTTTTTCATACCCAAGCTTCATCTAACTTTACTCAAAAAACAAAATATTAGGAAGATTTGTGAAAACTGAAACGATCATATATGAGAAGACATAAGATAATATGTCTAAATAGTTAACAATAAAAAATTTAACTACAGCAAAGTATACATTTTTTTTTTCTGTGAAGAGTGTTTTATGTTAAAGGTAACTGATAATCAAGAATGGTAGATATCCTTCAGGGGTATTCAGAGGAAAGAACAGATTATAGTTTTTTTGTTTTTGTTTTTATTGATTTCATGTTCAACTTTCTAATGCAGGGATATGATAGATCTATTATTTTTTTGATATAATAGATTGAATGTTATCATTTTATTTTATTTTTTCAGATTCCCCCAAGATGAGTGCTCCAAGCATACCTCTCTCCAGCATATTGAAATCCAAGCATGAAGAAGTAGAAGGAGATGAGCCAAAGAAAAAAACACGTGAGGAGTGGAAGAAGGCCAAAGAATTAGAAGAGGCTCGAAAGGCAGGTACTGTTCCAGCTGCTGTTGATGAAGAAGGAAAGGACATCAACCCTCATATTCCCCAGTACATTTCCACTGCACCTTGGTATTTTGGATCTGGCGGTCCAACCTTAAAACATCAACGGCCTCAGCCAGAGAAACAGAGTTCTTTTAACCACCTCAATGAGCATTATGCAAGGGGCCAGAAAGGAAGTGTTTCCACACGTTATCGCAAAGGTGCATGTGAAAATTGCGGGGCTTTGGGTCACAAAAAAAAGGATTGTGTCGAAAGACCACGAAAAGTTGGTGCAAAATTCAATGCCCGCAACATTGCTGCCGATGACGTATTACTTCCCACTCTTAAGCTTGATTTTGATGGGAAAAGAGATCGATGGAATGGTTTCAATCCAGCAGACTATGCGGCCGTTGTTGAAGAGCATCAGAAAGTTGAAGAATACAAGAGACAGTTGAAAGCTAAGAAGTTAAAGGATGGTGAGGAGATGAGTGATGATGAGCCTGATGATGATGATGAAGATGAGGACAAGTATGCTGAAAGTGTTGACATGCCTGGTACAAAAGTGGATAGCAAGCAGAGAATTACAGTGCGTAATTTGCGTATCCGTGAAGACACTGCCAAGTACTTGAGGAATCTTGACCCCAATTCAGCATATTATGATCCCAAAACAAGATCTATGAGGGACAACCCATATCGAGGAACAGGAAGAAAGGATGACGAAGTTGATTTTGCTGGAGAAAATTTTGTCAGATTTACTGGTGATACTGTAAACCAAGCTAAAGCTCAGCTCTTTGCATGGGATGCTTATGAAAAAGGTGTGGATGTTAGCCTTCAGGCAGAACCAACAAAGCTTGAGTTACTAAAGAAGCAGTTTATTGATAAGAAGGATGAATTTAAAAAGAAAGTTTCAGATGACCTTCTTGAAAAGTATGGAGGGAAAGAACATCTTGATGTCCCACCCACTGAACTGCTATTGTCTCAGACAGAAAATTATGTTGAGTATTCCCGTCATGGTAAAATTATCAAGGGCGCAGAAAAGCAAGTTGTAAGATCCAAGTATGATGAGGATATATACCCAAGGAATCACACAAGTGTTTGGGGTAGTTATTGGCGAGATGGAGTATGGGGTTACCGTTGCTGCCACTCATTCATCAAAAATTCATACTGCACTGGAGAGGCTGGAAAACAGTCAAATACAGAAGTCCTCTTACCAACTGCCTCAACATCAGCTGAACCAGAAATAGCAGAGGAGAAAGAGGAAAAAACTCTCCTGGAATTACATCAAGAGAAAATAGACAAGAAAAAGAAAAAGAAAAAGAAAAGGAAAAGCAAGAGCAAGAATAAGAAAAGGAAGCGTAATAATAGTAGCAGCAGTAGCAGCAGCAGCAGCAGCAGCAGCAGTAGTAGCAGTAGTGATTCAAGCAGTGAGTCCGAGAGTGAAGAACAGAAAGAAGAAAAGCGTAGGAAGAAGCTACGTGAGGCTTTGATCCGAGCCAAGATGGAAGAAGATGCAGCAGCAAACATGATGAAAATGGATGAGCGCGTGAGAAAGTACAATTCAATGTATAATGCAAAGGCACCAACAGAAGAAGAGATAGAAGCTTACCAATTAAGAAGACAAAGAGAGGATGATCCAATGGCAGCATTTTTGGGCAAATAACTGAATTGCAGGTTTTCATTACTCAGTGCTGTCATTATGTAATTTTCTTTGATGTGCACATTATGGGAGGGATTGGGAAATAATTTGTATAAAACAAAAAATACATATTTGTTAATAGAACTTACAGTAAATTTGTGTTATATCTCATTAATGTGCATATATTACCTGTGCAGTTTGTGAACTTACCCCATACACAACCTGTATACTACAACATAGGAATGTTTTTTGCATATTTTGAAGATATCTATTTAATGAAGAATAGAGATGTAACTCCTTTGGAAGATGTCAATAATATATTGAGTATCTTAAATTGTCAAGAGTAATTAGTTCTAAAAGTTTGTGACTATATCTGTAATAATATTAGTAAATGTATGTTTCATGTTTTTTTAAGTACAATTAAGTAGATGATGATGTATTTTTAATAATCCTTAAAAAAATATTATGCAGAGAGTTTCTAAAATTTTTACCAAAATAGCCAGAAGACTTAAGTAACAGAATCAGTAGAAAACTAGGTAGTAACTAAATCAGTTTCAGATGATTGTATGACTTTTTTTAGGATGTTTAATCATCATCTCACTTTCCCCTCTTACCTTTTTTGATGCTACACAGTTCTATAGGGCTATATGACCTTTAATGTCTGGCATATTTTGATTTAGAACCATTAACTATTAACCAGTACTGATATATATTTAAAAAACAAAGTGGAAAAAATACTATGCAGAAATTGTTTACATAGGAAACCTGAATAGAATAAGAAAATAGATAATGTCTAAGACTGACAGAAAATATTGGATGGTAGTTAAGAAGTTACAAATAGCAGGGAGGAACTTCCTTTGATGTTATGTACACAGAGACAAACATTCAAGAAAAAAAAAAATGAAACTTTTCACTCCTGGAACTTTTTATGATACATGTACCCTCCCCCCCCTCCCCACATCCCTTAGTCGTCGTTGTCATGGGGGGCTTAGGAGACGGGGATTTAGGCCCAATGTAGGGGATCACCCTCAGCCCTTGCCTCAACTAATTTTGCATGGTCTTTTCTTCTCCCCCTTTCCTTTCTCTTCTTTACCCCCTTCTTCTGTTCACAACAAACAAAAAAGGAGTATTAAATTAATATCTTTTATTTTAGCAATATACTCTTCACAGATATCTTTAACAATGAAAACTAATATCAAATGTTTGGTTTTCTTGCTCCCTCCCCTCCAGTCCCTTGCCCATTGTTGCCGTGGGGTCTTAGGGAGACTAGGCTCAATGTTGGGGATCTCTCCTACCTTGGGCCTCTGCCCTCGACTCAACTAATTTTGCTTCATCTTTTCTTCTACTTTCCTTTACCTTATTTTCCCCAAATCCCAAGGAGCAAGAGCTGTGTTGAAAGGATGAAAGGCTGACTTTTTATCAGTCATGAATGGTCTGAGGGAGCTATGGGCATGGTATTCTCTTGCTTAATTGTCTTGCCCATACCCCTCATAGGAACCCTGAGAGGTGGACCTTTTATCTTCCCCACATATTTCAGTCTTACCATGGCCAGTAATGCAGATTTTGTATCCTTATTAGAGGCATTGAGGCTTTTCCACTTTATCAAATAGCCTCTCTGAATTTGCCTCCTCTGGTTTACCGACCCTTGACCACTGCTCTGAATACCCTCCTCAATCGACACAAGATGTCAATTTGACCCATCCCGAATCATCTACCCAGGTTTTAACTCAACCCTTCCTCACTCACAATATACTCGAACCCACCTCCAGCACAATCCTTTTCATTTTCTACCTCCTCCCTTGTTATAACTCTTCAATCCTATTTTCCTCCACCTGTCCTCTACAATTCCCATTTTCTGCAAACCTTTTAAGAACCCTATTTAGCAAAACAGGATAGATTTTTTGTGATTCCCCCAACAGCCACTTTCTCTGATAGTACCCTTCTCCTTCAACAGTGTCTCCAAAAACAAGTAGGCAATTTCCTTCCACAGTTGTCTTGACCGCTCACAACTTGTCACAGTTACGTCTGAGTCTCAAGCCCTATACTATATACTATATACTATATACCTTGGTTGACCTTCCCCATAAAGGTTACATAGGAGAATCTTGCCTTGTCAGGCCCTATGTCTCTTCCTATTTCTCGACATATCCATCGTACCATACAATCCAAACATTCCACCCCATCTTCTCCAAACACATCCCAACCCACATCTACATCCTCTACTCCTCAGATGCCTATCTTCTCTTCATCTCCTCATAGTTTCCAAAACCTCCCCACCCAAGTCCCCTCCAGAAACCCATGGGGACATTAGACTCTAAAGAGAAAATTCATCTCATCCATCCTAAAATTTCTCTAACCCCATTCCAGCTACATTCGAAGTGACTGCCAACATCCATGCTCCTCCCCCTCATATTTCCCCTACCCATCTTCCCCCTACTCCCTTCCAATACTGACCTTACCCTGACTTCAAACCTTTTCATGCCTTGACCTCTTGACATTTATTTGTTTTAACTATTAAGATTTTAAAAATTGGTTCTCTTGCTCTTAACACTGAACAAGCAAAACCTGATTATAATAGTTCACTGCAATTTATTGCAGTGGCCTAACCCTTACAGTTGAGGTGATTATATTATCTTCATATTTTTTTCCAGCTTGAATATGTAATACATATTTTTGTTTTATCAGTAAAGCAACCGCTCATTTTTTTAAATTGATTTATAAATCCTACCTCATTTTACAGTTCTTTACTCGTGAAACTAAATATTCTTTCATATAACCTAAAGGTGGTTAATGGTTAATGGTTAAAAACAAAATAAATGTGCTAGACATCTAAGGTCATGTAACACTATAGTAAATGTTAGTAAAGGGTGGTTAAGTTAGTGATTAATTGTCAAAGCTGAGCAAAGGAATTGGCGAGTGAATGGGTTAAGGTCGGGTGAGGTAATGTAAAGGGGTTAGATTAAGTGAGGGATATTTATGCGTTTGAGAGGAAAACAGGTTGTCGAAGCAGAATAGGTTGGGAGGTCGGTGACGGGAGGATAGGTGGGGGGGGAAGCAGAGCTACAGGCTGCTTCAAAACGTGTGCATGATAATAGAATGTGTGACTGAAAGAGGAACATTACATAAGGAGCATAGGTGTGCATCGGATTATGACATCAGATAGGGATGTGTTAGACGGGTGTGGAAGGGGATGCTTGTGATATAAGGGATTCACGTGTGTATCCAGGAGGGAATGGGAGGGATAGAGGGGATGGTGGGAGGGTTAATGTGGGTGGGGTTGGAGTTGGGGGGGATGCGCTGTGTTGGGAGGGTGTAGGGGGGATATCGTTAGGAACAGGATGGATATCGGCAGTCACTTGGTGTGTGGAGGGAGCAGGAGTTGTAGGATTTGAAGTTTTCATTAAGAAGTCTTGAATATTTTCAAGAGTTTCTTCAATGGAATTGGTTGGGGAGTTTTGTGGGATAAAGGATTTCTTTTGAGGGGGGGAAGAGAAGACTGGTGTCTCAAGAGTTGGGGCAAAGGAAGGTGGAGGTGATTGTGTGGTAGGGGAAGAGGGGGTGGAAAGTTTGTTTTGTCTGTTGCAGGTAGTGCGGGGAGGGAGAGGGAAGGTGTTGGGGTTGTAGTGGAGATTGGAGTGTCTGTAGTAGAGATTGGGGTGTCTGGATTTATTTAAGATGGCAAAAGAGTTTGACTGGGGAAGGTAGGAGGTAGAAGAGGGGGAGTTAGATGGAAGGGGGGTAGGTTTAGGAGAGGATGTAGGAGCTTGGGAGGTAGGGGAAGTGGTAGAATGAGCAATATTACTGGAGTAGGTATTAAGAGAAAAACCTAATAGTGGGGTTAGGTTTTCATTATTGGCCATGGTAAGCCAGGAGTATGTTGGGGAGAGAAACAGTCCACCCCTCAGGGTCCCCTTGAGGGGTAAGGGCTATGCCTAAGCAAGGGAATACCATGCCCATTGCTCCCTCAGGCCGTTTAGGACTGGCACAAAGTCAGCCTTTCATCCTTTCAGCACGGCTCTCACACCTTACGAGGTGGATAGTAGAAGGGATTGGTGAAGGGACAAAGGAAAAAGTAGGAAGGAAAAAAAGACCATGCAAAATTAGTTGAGTCGAGGGCGAGTCCCAAGGTTGGGGAGTTTCCCATCATTGGGCCCCAGTCTCCGTCTCCTAAGCCCCCCCACGACAACAACGGGCAAGGGATTGGGGGGGAACCTAAAGGTGGCATATCTAAGTGTCAGTAGAAAATAATTTTGAGTATTCTGTTGTATTCAAGAGCATAAAAACTTTTATCATAAGATAGAGTTTACTAATTTTATGGTTATATAAATGATGTATCGTATATACACCAGAAATGTGATTTCCTCTAGTAAAAGTTTGTACGGTGAGGGGAGTAAAGTGGTAGTAGACTCCAACAGCAAAACACAGAAATCTTTGTTTTAAGTGCAGCTTCTGGTGGGTGTGGCCAGGAGAGGTTTTAATTACTGCCCCTGTTTTATTTTATTTTATTATGTTGGTGCAGCATTGGGCCCCAATCTCCTAAGCCTAAGGTAGGACAGATCCCCCACGACAATAATAGGTGAGTGATTGAGGGAAATAAAAATGTTAAAACTGTAAATAGTTTTATTGATATCACATCATATAAAAAGATAACTCAGGACTAGCCTTACGAACCAAACATGCTACATGGATACAGGTTTCAGTGCAAAAAAGCAGCCACTGCATTAATTAAGATATATGGCAGCAAATGGTATTATTGTTTTCTGAAATAACAATGAAAACTTTGGCATTATGGACACCCTCCCCCCCAGTAAGTATGTAGATGTCTGTGATATACCTTGGTTGGCAGATCCTTTTAAAAATAGTTAAATAGCAGAAATGTTCATAAAAAATAATAACCATAATAAAAAATAATTAGTAAAAGCAGAATACTTCTGTTTAGATGACTTCATGCTAAATATTATACTAACAAAATTTTTATCAAAATAACTTTAAGGAAGACATTTCTACTAGTACATCTTAAAAAAAAAAATCCTTGGTCTAAAAAAGGAAAAGTAAAAAAGAAAAAATTGCAGGTACATGCCTTCAAATATTATGACAATATATAGTGATAGGTAATGTAATGAGTAGATAACAGGAAAATATGGCCCTTTATAATGATTACGTCTCAAATATGAACATTCCAGGAAATACAGTTTCCCTGATTACAAACATCCTACTCTACATTCATCACAGAAGCGCTTCTTGGAAAAATCTTGGGTTACAATACCAAAACAAGACACATCCCAATATTTCAGTGGAGATGTACAATATAAGAGCCATACATAAGAGCATCCCCTTTCAAATGCAGAGATTCATTTAGCACACAAAATTAGCACTATTGAAAAAAGTACCCACACAGGCAGTGGAATTCCTTAATCATTATTAATCAATAT